TTCCACGATTCCTTTCTTGTACTCCACGGAGTAGCTTTTTCTTTTTGCTCTCATTTCTAGGGGTAAAAAAAAAGGAATTGGAGTATCAAGGTGGGGAGAGGGGGATCATTTAAAATGACACAGGGGGGATCAGACGGGGAAATCAAAATGTCACAGGAGAATCAGAGGGGGGATTTACCATTTTAGTAACCCCTTTTGATCCTCCTGTGTCATTTTAAGTGATCCTCCTGCTCCCACCCCTGTGCCACTGAACACTTTCACCAGACATCCCCCTTACCCCTTTATCAGACATTTACCTCCTGGGGCCTGCCTGGGGACTGTCATTGGGCTTTCTGGGGCCTGGATCTGGGCTCCAGCAGGGTCTGCCACTGACTGAGAACCTTCAGTCATCATGAGGGTGGCTGCGAGCATCAGGTAGTGTTACCAGAAACAGACCAGCACTCACCACCTTCGCGTCCTGTCCGCTCTAATCCTCCTGTTCTACATGCATCTGCGAAAGTATCCTCCTCTCTCCCGCCCCCGCTCACTGCTCACTGTGACCTCCGCTCTGCCTCCACACAGCAGTGACGTCAGGACTTCAAGTAAGGTCACTGGTTGCTAGACGCCAGTTGGGGCTGCCCTCGCGACCAGTTTAGGGCAAATTAATTTTCATTCTGAGACAGAGCCTAGGGGTGGGGGCTTATTTTCTGGGGGATACCTTGTATTTCACTCAGAAGGAAACCTGTAAGTAGGTCTTATTTTTGGATGATGTTTTATTTTCGGGGAAACATGGTAGTAGGCAGTAGTATGCTAAATCTTGGGGAATGCCTACATTTAGCCAATAGGATGAGGATTAGAAGGACATGAGAATCCTTCTTTGCCATAGCAATTATCCATTAAAATATTTTTAGTCAGAGGATACTATGTGCCACTCACTGTTTAAACAATGAAAACACATCAATGAACAAGGCAAACAAGATCTCTGCTTTCATAGAGTTTACAGTACAATAGGGATATATAGCTTTGCTCAGGGAAAGAAACATTAACCCAACAACGTTCCTAAATCTTGACTTAATTTATAGCACAAATGTGTGGAGGAAATGAGAGTTGGACTGTTTTGTTTGTTTGAGATGCAGATTGTCTTGAAAATTATTCTATATGCAAATTCTGCCCTACCCTCACCCTCTTCCAAGTTTCCTCACAAAAAGGGTCACACAGTGAGGCTTCCTGTTGGAAGCAGAGGAGCAGAGCTGCCCACAGAGCCCTGGGCTGTAATGTGAAGGGGAGGAGACTGAAATTCATATCTTATCTCTGTTCTGTTAATAAAATGGGAGTTTGTGGGTTTTAACAATTGTTTCTAAATGGAGGAGTAGATGACTTTATTTTGTTGGGGGTTGGGACTTGTGGCTTTAAAGAAATGGCTTTTCAGTAGGATGTATATTTTTGTTGGAGTTTTTTGTTTGTTTGTTGTTTTTAGAATCCTCCACAGCAACATTCGAGACCATGGGGTTAAAAGAAACCCAGAAACCTTTATCAATTAATTGTACTGTTTGTAAATTGTATAAATTACAAAGATCCTCTTAAAATGTTTATATTCTTACAGTAAAAGGTTAAACTGATATTTATATAATAAAAGAGGAAATATGAAGTATGTTTTTGAAAAACAACAACAACAACAACAACAACACCTTGTATCTGTGAATTATTTTGAAGGCAGTGTGTTTGGGTACATGCCAAAGTTGGAGGTGCTGTTTGTGTGCTTTCAAGTAAAAGGAAATAAGACATAGACGTCGGTGCGTCCTATGTGGTATGAGTAAGCTCACGGTTAAAATGTATTCTATATAAGGTTTACTACTGTCATCTAAATGTTTTGTTTCTAGAAAGATGGTGAGATTGGAGATTTATATAATTTGGTTTTCAACTGTCAAAAAATGAAAATTTACAGAAACTGAAAAAATGAAACTTAAAAAAAAGGGAGAGAAACGTTAATAGTTTCAAATGTAAAGAATTTGAGGAGGATACATACTTCAGTGGTCTTGGAATTTGAAAATTGGAAGGTGAAGGAGTCATGCAGCCAGTTTCATTCCAAAGATAATGATCAAGAGTTGTGATGGAAGGGAAATCAGAAATTCAGATGCTAAAATATGAAAGAAGAGGATAGTACTTTCTGGAATTTAGTAGGTCCTTGAAATGCAGAAAATGAAGCAGTTGCTATAATCAGATAAGGTAAGCTTCAAAAGAGAGGAGGTTTAACACAAGCATTAAACACATGATCTGGGGAAACAAAGCATCCAAGGAGTTTATTAACCCCTTCTCTTCACATGGAAGTGAAAGGAGAGTTTCCAGAGCAGTGAGGAACCCAGGGAGGGTTAATCAGTAAGAAGCCCAACCTCAGCCATTTACTGTATAAACCAGAGAGTGCTCAGTCATGATCTTAGGAATTTTGTCCACCGGAGTTCTTGTTAAAATTTTGCTTTCTAGTGGTATGATATGGATTCCTCAGGAATATTGCACTGTTGTAGAACTGCCATGCCTAGCCTTTAGAGCAAACACAAATGCTATAGTCAATTACTAGACATAGCAAACCAGATCTGGAAGGAATCTTCACAATCAGGCTGTCCACAGCCTGTATTTTGCAGAAGAGGAAACAAAGGCTCAGAGAATGCAACCCATGAGGTGGTCAAGATCTGAGTTCCCAGCCTGTATTCTCCAGTTTAATCCCATTCTCTCAAGGAATCTGTATGGTGCCCAGCAATGAGATCATTTTCCACATGTACTCTGACATGAAGAAGGTTGCTATTGGATGGCAATTGTTCATAAGTCTCTCAAGTTTCTGCATGTCTCAGGAGAACTTTTGTTATTTTTCTTTGACCTTATAGTCTTGCAAACTCTGCTAGAATCTGTGAAACTGTATCAGGTTACCTTGTAACTCACAGAGTAAAACCTCAGACACTTCACAAGTTCCAAGTAGTGGTTTCAAGAAGCAGTTAATAATATTTTGTGAGAAAGGAATCTTCTGGTCAAATTAAAGAAAAACTGAGGCAAAAACAAACAAACAAAAAACACAAAAACCAAACACACTTAAAATATAAAAAATAGAAAAGCAGTTTGCTTTTGGTCACATCCTTTAAAAAACTTAAGAGCATTATTAATTGCTCCTATATGTGAACTTGGGGTGGAGTTGAGTGTGCTAAATTTTAAGAATTGTTTTTATAGGAAATCTTTCTCTCCCCAATCCCCCTGTGAAATACCTATTAACATTGGGAAGAACAATGTAATAAAAATTAGTAGAAAGACATTTTGAAAGCCAGAGTAAAATGTAGAAGAATGAGGCTGGAAATGCAGTTGATGGGGGTAGTTTTCACATCCCTTGAAAATTAAAATGAGGTAGGTTGCAAGTATGCCAGCACCACTTACAGCATCCCTTTGCAGGCATGCCTAAACCAAGCAATTTTTTCTTTAAAAAATATTTTTATTTATTTCTGGGAGGAAGGGAGAAGGAGCGAGATATAAAACACCAGTGATGAGAATCATTATTCTGCTGCTTTCTGCACATCTCCAACAGGGGATCAAGCCCACAACCCAGGCATGTTTCCTGACTGGGAATTGAACTGTGACCTCCTGGCTCAAAGGTTGACATTTAACTAGCGGGGTCAAACCAAGCCATTCAATGGGATTTTGCTTATAGGTCAGATTTTAGAGCAAGAAGGGATTTTAGAGTTAATGCTAACTCATTTACCCATGCAATACTGAGGCCCAGCAAGAGGAAGGCATTTAGGATAATCCAATTCATTAGTGGCAAATGATGGGAATACATCTAAGTGTTCTATGTCACTCATTAGTGTTCCTCACAATTCTGTTTTCATGTTTCCTATGTAAAGAGTTTGTAACTCAACCTTAATGTCTCTGAAGGCAAATGCTATTTGTTCCACTTGAAAGCTCCTACTACCTATTGAATATCTACCCTATTCACTATAGTCACTGTGCACATCCAGCACTACCCCTCACAACTTTCTGCTGTGATGAAAATGCTTCATATTTGCACTGTCAAACATGGGCACCATGAGATAGATATTTATATCTCTATCTCTATCTCTATCTCTATCTCTATCTCTATCTCATCTATCTCTATATCTATATCATCTATATCTATATCTATATCTATATCTATATCTATATCTATATCTATATCTATATCTATATCTATATCTATATCTATATCTATATCTATATCTATCTATGTCATCTATAACTATATCTATACCTATATCTATATATTTATAAAGATATTGAACAGTAGACATATAGCTACTATGATTAAGGAACTGATTTCTTTTTTTTATTTAAAAATATATTTTATTGATTTTTTACAGAGGAAGGGAGAGGGATAGAGAGCTAGAAACATCGATGAGAGAGAATCATTGATCAGCTGTCTCCTTCACCCCCCCCACACTGGGGATGTTCCCTCAACCAAGGCACATGCCCTTGACCAGAATCGAACCTGGGACCCTTCAGTCCACAAGCTGACGCTCTATCCACTGAGCCAAACCAGCTTCGGCAAGGAACTGATTTCTTGTACTTTTGAATTCTGTGTACTTTTTTATTAATTAAAATGTACATTTAAGCAGACATATTTCATTAGTGGATACTGTAGTGAGCAACTGTAGTCACCATAGATGCTACAGTGCCTTACATAGGACTGAATCTGAGTAGAAATTAGTAGTCAAGGCTGAAGTCTGAATTCCATTTATTCATTTTGTTGATCTATGACAAACTGCCATGATCCCGGCACGGTCACCAGGCCCTATTCATTCATTCAACAATTAACAAGCACTAGAAAGGCCAGGCCTTGAGTGGGAGAGAGGGGCACAAGCTAACTTGCTGGCCTTTAGAAAGGGGCGGGGCCTAAGGGCTGGCACGTGCTGCGTGGGGCGTACTACGCATGCGTCAGCACCCAGGAGCTCATTGCGCGAAGGGCTGTTGGCTGGGCGCCATCTTCTGAGCTAGTCAGAAGCGGAGCCATGCCTTCAGAAGGGAGGTGCTCGAGAGGGAAAAACAGGTCGAAGAGCAAGGCTTTGAAAGGGACCCGCATACGGCTGGTCAGATGTGATGAGTCCCACCCTGCCGAAAACGTGGTGGAGGGGTCGCATGTCAGCAGCACCACCCCCAACCGTGGCGGCCATCCCATCATGGCCGCCGCGCCTCAGCCCGGCTGGGAGGCGTCCCTGCTGGGCCTTGGAGCTGAGAGGCGCCAGTCTCTGATGAATATGTGGGCCGAAAATCGCTTGGTCCTTTTCCTGCTCACCATCCTTCTCATGACGCTGCTGTGCTACCATTTGGGTTTCAGTGAGTAACCTTTCTGGGGAGGCCATCAGGGGAGGGGGGTCCCGGGGCCCCGTGGCAGCCACCGACGAGCTGCCCTCTCCCCTCCACTCTACACTACAGGCCTCTCTCACCCAATCTCGATTCTAAGGTCCATCTAAAAGATTTTTCAGAGTCGAGAATAAAATTTTGACAATAAAGACTAATGAAATGATTTCAGATAAGTTATCAACATATGTAACAGTATAAGATAAGTTATAATAGTGATATTGGTGTATGATTGAACAGACTGGTTAGTGGAACAGAATAGGAAGTCAAGAAACAATATGATGGCGATATCATAAGTAGGAAAGAACAGAATTAATAAGTGTTACTAGGACAACTGCAAAACAATGTATTCCTACTTCATAATACACTTCAAAATACATTTTAGGTGGATTAAAATGTAAATATAAAAAGTGAAAATATAAGGAAACATTAAGGTATGGAATGTTTCTAAACATGATTCAAAAGAAGGAAATAGTAAAGGAAGATATTTAGACACTTGATTGCATAAAACATTTTAAACTTCCAAAAAACACCACAAAAAATATAAAGGTTTCTGACTGTCTTAAAAAATTTGGAATATATGTAGTAGATTAATGTTTAAATTCTCTACTGTGCAACAAATGTATGAAACATGTAAACTCATTGATGACAAAAAGTATCAATTAAAAGAAAAGAGATAGTTTTATTTGCTCATCAAACTGACAACAAAAAAGTGAGGGTGCAAGAATAACAGTACTCCCATCCAAGTACTAACCAAGCCTGACCATGCTTAGTTTCTGAGATCAGATAAGATCGGGCATGTTCAGGGCAGCATAGCTAAGATTTGGAAACAGCCTAAGTGCTCATCAGCAGATGAGTGGATTAAAAAACTGTGGTACATCTACACAATTGAATACTATGCTGCTGTAAAAAAGAAGGACTTCTTACCATTTGCAACAGCATGGATGGATCTGGAGAGCATTACTAGTATGCTAAGAGAAATAAGTCAGTTGGATAAAGATAAATATCATATGATTTGTAGAAACTGATGAACAAAAATAAATCCAGAAACAGAGAAGCATCGAACAGACTGTCAAACTTCAGAGGGAAGGCAGTGGATTATTATTATTATTATTATTATTATTAACTTATTATTAGTCACCATGCTGTATATCACATGGTGTTTTTATAATCAAAAGTTTGTTCCTTTTAGCTACCTTCATCCATTTCTCTCCCCACAAACCCCTCACCTCTGTCAAACACAAATCTGTTCTTTGTAGTAGTGATTTCTATGCATTTCTTTATAATACCAATAAATGTTAAGCAATCTAAATCCTTTTCTTTTGAAAAAAAAAATATTTTATTGATTTTTTACAGAGAGGAAGAGAGAGGGATAGAGAGTTAGAAACATCGCTGAGAGAGAGACATCAATCAGCTGCCTCCTGCACACCCTCCACTGGGGATATGCCCACAACCAAGGTACATACCCTTGACTGGAATCGAACCTGGGACCTTTCAGTCAACAGACCAACGCTCTATCCACTGAGCTAAACCGGTTTCGGCTAAATCCTTTTCTTTAGGGTAATGTTTTACTTAGTTGTAGTAGAGCCATATAATAAAATACTGTGAAGTTATTAAAGATAGCATTGGAGAATATTTAATGATATGGACAAATCCATGTTATGGGAACAAAGGTAGATATAATTTCTTCTAATATGGGAGAGAATCATACAAATGAAACTAAAAGCAGGTTGTTTGAAGTAGTGAGAAAGAAGGATAGGAAGGTTTTGCAGTGTCTCCTCAGGCCTTTATTTTTATCAGTAAATAAAGAGGCCAACATGGTTTCCAAGAGTTTCTGTGATGGGGTCTGATTTAGTTAGAAAAAAATGTTTATAAATAGTTAATTAATTGGACCTCTGAATGTCAGTGCTGTTTCTGAGTCAAGTTCACTATTGTAAATCATTTTATAACACAACAATGGAATATGTTGGCCTATAGTTTAAACTTTGTGATGTCATCAGTATTTATAGTACCTAAGCTGTTATAAGGTATTGGGTCTAGTAATGATTAATGTCGTTTTTAAACATTCATTTAAAATCTTGCTTGGCGTTGACTTGTATTGACATAACCTTCAAACACGTGGTATCTACAGAACGTGTGAAGTGCAATTAACAAGTTTTGCTTGAAAAAGTTTGTGTTTGGTTTGGTTTTTGTTGCAAAACTAGGGCTAAGAAGATGGCGGATGAAGAGCATATTCGGCACTGCATGCTTTACGAGTTCCAATTAGGAAGAAAAGCAAGTGAGGCTGCAAAAAACATCTGTAGTGCTCTTGGTCAAGATGCAGTTAGCGCCAGAAAATGCCAGCGTTGGTTTGAGATTTTGCGAGGGAAATTTTTCGTTAGATGACAAGAGTGGTCGAGGCCATGTGTCCAATTTTGATCAAGAAGCTCTTCAACCTCTTTTGGTGCAAAATCCTCAAATTACCCAAGAGCTTGCGACAACTTTAAATTGTTCACAAAAAACAATTTCCAATCAATTGTGTGCACTTGGCAGAGTCCAAAAGTTTGGAAAATGGGTTCCTCATGAGTTGACCGACAACAACCGTAATCAAAGAGTCACAATTTGCAGTTCGCTCCTCTCTCGTCAAAACCGTTTGCCGTTTTTAGAGCAAATTGTTACCGGAGATGAAAAATGGGTGCTGTATGTTAATTTGAAAAGGCGGCCTCAATGGTTGGACAAAAATGAGGCTGCGCAGCCCACGCCAAAACCTGACTTGCATGCGAAAAAAGTGATGTTGTGTGTTTGGTGGAATTTTAAAGGAATTCTTCATTATGAACTTTTACCATCTAACCAAACCATTACAAGTGCAGTGTATAGTGCCCAATTGGAAAGGTTAGCCCAAGCTTTAAGAGAAAAAGAACCCGCGCTGATTAATCGGAAGGGCGTAATTCTTCACCACGATAACGCACGACCGCATACTGCAAGAATCACTGCTGAAAAACTGCGCCAGTTGGAATGGGAAGTTCTCCCTCAACCTGCATATTCTCCTGATATTGCCCCTTCCGATTACCATTTGTTTCGTTCTTTGCAAAACTTTCTTCTTGGAAAAAAATTTAATAATGAAGAATGCCTCAAAAATGCATTGACCGAATTTTTTGCATCAAAATCACAAGAATTTTACAACAAAGGGATTAAAATGCTTCCTGAGCGTTGGGCACAAGTAGTAGAAAACAACGGCAACTATATTGTTGATTAAATTTTGTTGTATTGTTTAAATAAATTCGATTTAAAAAAAAATATTAGAAAACGACATTAATTATTACTAGACCTAATATAAGTTCAATATCTGTTAGCTCTTATATTTTCCATTATTAACCTTGGGGACCAAAGAGAGTTATAAATGCTTTATTTTCTGGTATTAATAATTTCACTTTTTATTAAGGATTCTCAAACTCTGAGACTGAAAGCGAGTATATTATGTGGAACAGTGAAAACACTAACGGACAATCTACTGCACAAAGAGTTCTGATAAGTTTCTTCTTTCCCACAAGTAAGTTCTTGGATGATTTTTTCCCCCTAGGGTCCTTGTTTTGAAACTAGTAGTTAAATGTTTAGGAGACAGTATGGTCTATTGGCATTGGAGTGGGATAGACCTGAGTTTTCATCCTGACTCTGTTATCTTAGGCAAGATTACCTCTTTGAAATTCAGTGTCCTCATCTTTACAATGAAATATTTACCACAAAGAATTGCAAGGAAGAACTGAGGCCATATTTTACAGGAACTCCATATGTTTGTTTTTCTTGATAAAATAGTTTTCCTTCTCAATTATCTGAACCTTTTACAATTTACCTTAATGACTGCCTGAAATTTAGTCCCTGACCCAGTTTTGTGAAATCAATATCTTTTGTGGCATTAATCGGGGTGCTGTGTAGCTCTAATGTACAGAATATACCAGATGTTTTCCCATCTGTTTTAATGATAAAAAGTTCATGTTTCAAGTCGCATCGCCTTTTTGTGATTCTGTATATAATGTGTTCATCAAGCACATGATGACCCCTGAGAATTATTAACCACAAATAAACAACCTTTCATTTTGTACAACATGTGGCGCCCTTTCAAGGAGAAGCTGAAAATAAATTGACACATGTGAATTACAAAGATGAGCTTTCATTAAAAATTATGCAGACTTTATTCTAATAATATTTGATATACATATATAAGAAATAATAATTTCCATTGTTTAATTCTAGACTCTAGCACTGAATTCCTCTGTGACCTTGCATAAATCTCTTCATGTTTCTCTAAACTGGTTTCATGAAATACAAAACAGGTATTATAATGCCTACCACCAATGAGAATAGCAAAATAAACAAGCTCCACAAATAAATTAAATATATTGCCACAGTCAAGTTGAGGGGAGAAAGAGAAACCTGAGAGGGTGGTATGTTGTAAAGCTAAAAGAATGGTTCAGTGAGTGCTAAAGTTTATCATAAACAACAACAAATGATAATTTGTTTCCCATAGTTACCTATAATTATATTATACAAACACTGAAGCCAACTTTAAAAAATCTAAATAGAATATCTGTATTTCTAAAATATTTCCCCAGCCTGGTACAGTAACTTGAGTCAAAACCAAGTGTATGAGATGTTTTGCTCAACAAAATCAAACTGTTCTATTTTAAGGGAAACATATGGCCTAGGTTAATTCAAATATTTCAAAAACAGTGATATATATACTGACTTCTTTGAAAAGAGTAACTACAAGTTCATAAAATATGAAATAATTTTAACAAATTTATTTCCTCCATTTTATAATTGAATTATGAATACTCTTCCCACTTAGGCACTAAAACAAACGTTTGTTGTTTTGTCATTAGGCTGTTGTTTATAAAAGATTCATGTCTTATAGATTAAAATTATAACCTTGAGACAGACTGGCAGGGAAGCTTGAGAGGTCACATGATTCTTCCCTCTTGGATAAAATTATATACTTAAACCTGATAAAAATTGTTCTACAGTTTTTATTCTTCAAAATTGCAAGTGTCTCTTAGTAATTTGAGTCTGAAAGTTTAATAACTGGCATAAAGTTCATCAGATGCCATCTATCTATAATAATAAAAGAATAATATGTTATTAGACTGGACAGCTGAATGACCTTCTGGACATCATTCTGGATGTCATTCTGGATGAAGACGCCATGGTGGAGGCCGAAGCAGAGATGGTTAGGGGCACTGAGGCAGGCAGGCAAGCAGTTAGAGGCATCAGGCAGGTAGGCAGAGTTGTTAGGAGTGATGAGGCAAGCAGACAAACAGGGGCGATCAGGCAGGCATGTATAGTGGTTAGGGGCAATCAGGCAAGCAGGCAAACAGGGGTGATCAGGAAGGTAGGTGTGTGGTTAGGGGCAATCAGGCAGGCAGGCAGAGGGGTTAAGGGTAATCCAGGTAGGCAGGCTGAGTAGTTAAGGGCGATGAGGCAGGCAGGCAGGAGAGTGGTTAGGAGCTAGCATCCCCAGATTGTGAGAGGGATGTCTGACTGCCAGTTTAGGCCCAATGCAGGTATCAGGCCTAAACCTGCAGTCAGACATTTCCCGAGGGGTCCTGGCTTGCAAGAGGGTGCTGGCTGGGCTGAGGGACACCCCTCCCATGCACAAATTTTGTGCATCAGGCCTCTAGTTTAAGTATAAAATAATAGAAACTCAGCATCAGAAGGGACCTTAGGGATTATCTAGTCTATTTTCTTCTATGATTTAAAATCTCTATGATTTCCATTCCTTGAAAATGGTCTTTGAACAATGCCAATAGTGAAAAATTCAGCACATAGGAAGTCCATCCCCTCTCTGACCAGGCCCTGAGTATTGTCACTCTTTTCTGGTGTGTAATGCCCAGCCTGAACATGGTATTTCACATGCAGTCCAACTTGGGGAGTAGAGTCACTCTGGCAGAATTGAAGAAATAATAGCTTAGAGTATACAACAATAAAATAGGCAAACTCTTACTTGTCTAAAATTCTTGGGAAATCAATATCTAGGCCAATTGGTAATGCATTAAATTTGTGACTTTGCACAAGTTATTGTGATCCATGATGCTATTAATTTTAATTCTCACCCAAGGGTAGGATATGTTTTTATCGACTTTAGAGAGAAAAGAAGAGAGAGAGAGAGAGAGAGAGAGAGAGAGAGAGAGAGAGAGACAGACAGACAGACAGACATACATTGATGTAAGAGAGAAACATGGATCAGTTGCTTCCCATATGTGCCCCAACCAGGGATTGAATCTGCAACCTAGGTATGTGCCATGATTGGGAATAGAATTTGCAATTTTGTGGTGTATAGGATGATGCTCCAACCAACTGAGCCACCTGGAGAGGGCTGTGTTTATGGTTTTAGATGCAGGTGGTAAAGTTCATTTTGAGAGGTTTTTTTTTTTTTTTTTTTTTGTGTAGATTTATAAATGATGTTTGTAAAGCAAGGTAACTTGCGCAGTGAGGTCCCATGGCTTCGCCTGCGGGATTGGGCCAGATCTGGCTCTTCAATATCCTCCAAGGGGTCCCAGACTGTGTGAAAGCACAGGATGGGCTGAGGGAACCCCCCCTCTCCCATCTCCCAATGCACCAATGTCATGCATTGGGCCTCTAGGTTTTTTTTTTTAATATAATGTCAAAACAGATTTATTTGTATACATACCAATGAAGAAAAGCAGTCTTCTGTCATATGTAGAAGATTAAAATTCTTAAGTAGCTGATTTTGGGACCTACAACAATAGGAAAACTTGCTTTGTTGTCTTCAGATGTTAGGTCTATTTAAAGACTTTTTATTATTTTTTTTTCTTTAGAAAATTTTAAACGTATTTTATTGATTTTTTATATAGAGAGGAAGGGAGAGGGATAGAAAGCTAGAAACACCGATGAGAGAGAAACATCAACCAGTTGCTTCCTTCATACCCCCTACTGGGTATGTGCCCACAACCAATGTACATGCCCTTAACCGGAATCGAACTTGGGACTCTTCAGTCCATAGACTGACGCTCTAGCCACTGAGCCAAACCGGTTTCAGCTATTTAAAGGCATTTTAAATGGGTCTTTCTCCTCCTGGGACCTGCCTTTCCAATTCCCAATGATATACAAGCTGGTATTCCAGATAGTTTCTTTTGTTCATCCAGATACATTCCCATGAAGCATAAGACAATCCTATTCATTGTTGGCTGAATCTATGGTCTTCAGGTTAGCATGAGGTTGGTTAACTGGTTCTCTAACTCCAGAGCAGAATCTAGAGCAGTGGTTCTCAACTTTCCTAATGCCATGACCCTTTAATACAGTTCCTCATGTTGTAGTGACCCCAAACCATAAAATTATTTTCTTTGCTACTTCATAACTGTAATTTTGCTACTGTTAGGAATTGTAATGTAAATACCTGTGTTTTCCGATGGTCTTAGGTAATCCTGCTAGCAGGGTTGAGAACTGCTGCTATAGAGCCTAAGACCTTCAGAAAACACAGATATTTACATTACGATTCATTAATAGTAGCAAAATTACAGTTATGAAGTATCAACGAAAATAATTTTATGGTTGGGGGTCGCCACAACATGAGGAACTATATTGAAGGGTCTTGGCATTAGAAAGGTTGAGAACCACTGGTCTAGAGCTTGTATGCCAGCTTGCCAGTTATTTATCTCAAGCCTCTTAGTCACTGGAAGGCAGCTCTCACATCCTCTTAGATATCTTAAGAATTGCTTTCCATGTTTCCTCTTCATCTCAGTTTAATTTTCAAACAGTGTGGCAAAACGAGGTTCTCCTGGGCCTTCAATGTAATAACAAGCCATAGATAAATAAGTGTCACTGATGTGCAACTCAAAGATGCCACGTGATTAATAGCAAACTCTATACTCTTCAGAGAGGAGCTACTGGGCTGCCATTTCAGTTTTAGAAAAAAAAACAAAAAACAAAACAGGCATAAACAGTACTCAGAATGGTAAGTATTATTTTGACCATAGCATCAGAAATTGACAGTCTTTAAAGAAGAAGAACATAATAAAATAAACCATGAAGTAAAAATATGCTTTTAACCATTACGTTGTTATTTGTGTATGCTGAGTAGCTTTAAAGTCTGTAGTTGTTGATGGCACTGGAGATTGAACCTAATCTAAGCAGGCCTTTAGCAATACTGTGGAGATTTTCTTTTTGAGTAACAATCTGTTATCTGCCTTTTTAGTTGTCATTTGTTTCTCTTCTAAAACAGGTTACTAAAAAATAAGCTATTTGAACTCGAGTCTTATAGATTTAAACATGCACGACTTTATTGCAGTTGTATGAATCTTGGCATTCATGCTATAAATCATTGAATATTCAAAATTATAGAGTCATAACTTAAGTTCAAAAGGAAGAATCTTAAAATATGTGGTAGTACCAATACGACAAGTGTTCACAGAAAATAGATTAGTCCCAATAGTATCACTTATCTTACTCTCTAGCAATAAACTGTGTGAATTTTATTTATGTTCATTTTCACTGATGCATTCAATGAGTTTTTGTAGTTTAATAAAAATGAATGAAAGAGGGGAGGGCAGGATCTGGGTGGAGGGAGGCAAAGAGAGAAATGGGAGACATTTGTAATGTCAAAAATAAAAATAAACTATAAAATAAAATGAAATAAAATAAATGTGTGAGAGGATATCTGTTGCATTAAAAAGATGTTATTTTAAGGACATTTTGGGTCTATACTTGTTCATTTATTTTTATTTTCTGCATTTCATTTAGAATAGAAAGTGTGATGTTAAATAACCTTGTGGTAATTTTTAGTTTAACTCTTATTGTTTCAGCATTCATTGCTATTTGTATGTTATTCAAACTTTTTATTAAATGTACCACCTTAAATGTTTTTTTCTCTTTCACTCATTATTTTAATTGAGGAAAATAATAATTAATCACACTGAATTCTTTTTCTTGGATTTTGTTTCTAAAAGCATGCATTGTAAAGGAGAATCAGGAAGTGAATGATTGCAATAATCTGCCAAATCTTAACAAGAGTGCATGTTTGGAACACAGATGCTGTTATTCATCATTTGGGACCAATAACTTCCGCTGTTTTGCCCCATTAAGCAATAGTAAGTTCATCCTTTTATGTTTATTGTATTTCTATTTTTTTGTAAATTGGATAACCAGATCACAACGGTATACATTTAAATTTGGCTTTCCCAACTTCACACTTAAATGGGACTCCCATTTCTAGAGATAAATTATCTGTATAATGTCTTGAGGTGACCAGACCACCTCATTCATGAGCAGTTTCTGCTTAGCCAATAGATGTGACTATGGAAGTTCAAAATGAGTCTCTTCTTTTGCTTTATTCACTATCTATCTTGTTCCAAAGATTCTGGACTCTCTGAGAGGTAACTCTCAATGCCGGGGAGAATGCACTAATCAGAGACATTCCTTAGCTTACTTTTCTCCCCCCATTTACTTTTCCTGAGTAGACTTTTCCCCATTTATCTTATCTTCTGCACCTTATTATGTGACAGTAGACAAATATTTCTTATTAAGGTCTTTGTATTCATTTCTTTTGGTTTCACTGTATTTGAATTAGGTTCTTCTATTAATATTTTTTATTTTCAACGTTTTGAGAACTAGACAATCTCTTTTTGCTCCTTCATTTGGATAGCAGGGACATGTTACCAGTGAGTTCCATGATGAATATATTTGATATGATTAAACACTAACAGATACTACAAAAAGGATGCATGCGAAGCAATGTCTTAAGTTAATATAGTCCGTATTCAATTTACAGCTCATTGTTGAACATCTACTATTAATAATGGGAGCTGAAATCTGATCATGAAATTAGAATTATGACTTTAGCACTGTCATGCAGTGTTTATAACTTATTCATCGGTTTAGTCTTTATATTATGTGAGAAGAGACATTTGGTTCTTATAAAGGGAAAATTTGAACCGTGACTTACAATTCCCCAATCATATTAGAATGTATTTCCAAACAAAATATACTTATTCACCTGCAAATTTTTGATATTTATTTAATTAAAGTTTATAATTTGGAAGTAAATATTTAAGAAGCCATTTATCAAGTTAACTATTCATAGATTAATTTACTCTTTGAGTGCTTTAAGATGTATAAAATTTGGCCAAAGAAAAAACATGCTGAGATCATAGGAAGAATTATGAATCATAATGATATGTTAACAGAAACAGTAGGATCATTTTGTTAAGACTTCCATTGGAAGACACGCATTTAAAGTGTCGATTTTAGTTGTGTTTCAAGAACATTTCATAAACTCCTGCAATTATAAAGTAGCAAGTACATTTACTTATCATGTATGAATACCCCTTTTAATAAATTATACTTTCACTTTAATAACTGATACTTTTTATAAAGACTTTATGAAAGAGCTCATATTTGCTTCTCTTAATTCATTAAAATAACAAGATATAATTGAATCAACAGAACCTTTGCAAATATTCCGGATTTTTGGATTTGGTGTGGTTAGCATGATCATCCTAGGATGTCTGCCCATTTATTTCTTTTCTCTTCGCTGGAGAAGGTAGGCAAACATAAACATTCATTTGTTGAATACTGAGTATACTTGGATATTTCTGTTTAGGCATATTTATTCATACATTCCAGAAACATGGGGATTATGTTTGGGTCTCCTTTGTTTAAAAAAAGGGAGCTCAGTAAAAATCCAAAAGCAAAATTGCCATAAAATTTAAAAATGCATGTTATTTTATTCTTCCATAAATTTAAAATAGCTTCTTACATAGTCTGCACATTGTCTCATCAAACAAAATGCCAATTGGAATAAAACGTAAATCAGTTAGCTGGGGTTTGTTGAGTGGAAATAGTTTTTAACTGCATATAAGGATTCCAGCAAGAGTTAGTCTAAATAGATGGTCATCTACCATTGTGTCTTCAAATTGATTTTTATCAGATTTCCTCTTAGCATCTTATACAAACTTCCATTGCATTATTGACATAATGCTTTTAGTTTATTTTTTAACTAGAGGTCTGGTGCACAGATTCATGCACCAGTGGGCCCCTTGGCCTGGCCTACAGGGATCAGGCTGAAACCAGCTCTCCAACATCCCTTGAGGGATCCCAGATTGCAATAGGGCAGTTCTTAGGTGGTGCACCCTGGAATCGGGCTCCCTCCTCTCTTGTTCCAGGTGCATCACCTGAGGAGTGCAGCTGCCAAGTCACTACAGCTTAGCAGCTCCTGCATTGAGCATCTGCCCTTGGTGGTCATTGCATGTCATAGCTATTGTTTGGATGGTCGAACAGTCGAATGGTTGCTTAGGCTCTAATATATATATAATTCCCCAGCTACTGGGGATAGACTAGGGAGAGGTGAATGAGGCACTTGGAGCACAAAATCTAAGAAGGCACTCACTGTGAAGTTTGTGCAAATGCAGAGTTGGCACTAATATGACTCTGAGAGTAAGTATCTCCTTATATCTTATGGTAAAGAAAATGTGCCTGTTGAAGATTAAACATCTTTGATATTTTTATTCACTTTAATTAGAAAGTGGTATTTGGGTTACAAAAATTGATTAGATTTTACTGGAAGATGTTATACACATGTTACCTTATTTTCTGTAAAGATCATTAAGTCTTATCTTTTCCTTAAGTTTGATAAAGGTGTCATTATATATATAATTCATAGCAAGGTGCCTCATATTAGTGGAAGCTTAATATATTTTATTGAATAAATGAATGGTTCAACAAATAAATACAGTGGATAGAGTTGGCTAGCCTGGAAGGCAGTCCTATAGTAATTTAAACTTTCTCATTGCTCACATCACTTTCTTAGAACACTCTGAAGATATTATTGAGTCACAGTCTTTCAGCTCTTCAGTTTTCATATGACAATATATTATTTTCTCAGATTTTACTTAGTTGACTATACTGAGTAGGTAATCTCTATTCCTTGGCTGCTCTCATTTTCCTTCCTTTCCCAGGGAATAGGAATGGAATTTCTGATTTCTCCCTTCTCTCCCTGCCCAAAGCTTGATTTCATATACTAATAAAATATAACCCACAAATAAAAATGAAATTATATTTGCTAGAAACTGGTGGCTAAGGTTATGCTGTACTATTTAGTCTCTTATATGATAGGACTGATATAATATTTCATTATGGCATCTTTATTGTGCCTCTGCCAAGGAGTTTTATGGGGATGTTCAAATACACTAGATTTTTTTCTGAAATAAATTTCAAAGCATTATTCCTGATATGAATATATTTTCTTTTTTACACAATAAGAACTGTTGAAGAGATTAGAACAATGTGAAGAGTTATATACATATTGAACACCATACATTTTGGTTTACTATGATTAATTAATGAACTTATTTTACTGTTTTGTATAAGAGTGGTATGTACTAGTATGTTCCTTCAGTCATCCTGAGCTGCTTGTTGAACCCCAGAGCAGGTGTCAGTTTCATCTTGCTGCTTAGCTGAATTTCTAGGAAAGTGGATGGTTGAGGGTAGATGGGCCACCGTCAACGTTTCCTAGCAAGCTGATTTTAGCATCAAGGGAAACAGTTGTGTCAGAACAAAGACCCTGTCCTTAATACCAAACAAGGAGCTAAAATACAGTTCAAAGCTTGCCAAACCCTCCTTTTTAGGAAAATACATTTCTTTTTTTTAACTTTTTAAAAATTTAATAAATCTTTACTGTTCAAATTATTACAATTGTTCCTCTTTTCCCCCCAACTCTCCCCTCCACCCGTTCCCACCCACCCTCTGCCCTTAACTCCCCGTCACTGTCTTCATCCATAGGTGTACGATTTTTGTCCAGTCTCTTTCCGCACTCTCCGTACTGCTAAGTCAGAGAAACTGAGTCCAAAACTTGAAACAGGAGGCAATGAGGGGCTGAGGGGGACAGTTGTGCAGGGGCTTAGAAAAGCTGCTGGGTGGGGGAAGCTGAGGAACCTGGTGACTCTCCCATGAGCAGACTCCACATCCTTCCCTCCTCCTCCTAGTGACCCATCACCCTAGCTCTTCTCCAAGGCCCCGCTTGGGCTCATCTCACATAGGTTAACAACACCGTATGGCCTGCACAGCCCCACCCACACTGCCTTACCCACACCACCTTGCCTGCTCCAGACAGCCCTGCCCTACACAACCTTTGGGGAGCTCTTCCCTTGGAGGAGAAAGGGGGAGGCTGCAGACAGATGGTCGCAGGAGGAGGGGGCAGAGCAGGGTCCACCAAGTTAGATGGAGGGGAGGTAGGGAGAGACCCCACAGACTGGGGATAGAGATAGGCAGGGAAGGAGGGTCCTGTGGAAGTGTTACCCCGGGTTGAAATAGACATCCTGACCTCATTTTACAGATGTCAGCAGTGTGTGTGTGTGTGTGTGTGTGTGTGTGTGTGTGTGTGTGTGAGAGAGAGAGAGAGAGAGAGAGAGAGAGAGAGAGAGAGAGAGAGAGAGAGAAGAGGGTATGAAGGGACTGGATATATGGATATATGAATAGCAGTGACATTTGAATCATGGCCTATTTATTTTTAATTTTGTTAATAAATTGATTTCAGAGATGAAGGCAGAGGGAGAGAGAGAAACATATATAGTTGCTTCAGTTATTTTTTGCGACTGTAATTAACAATGCTACAACATAAAGAGGCTACAGATAAATCATATAAATATAAATTGGCCTTCACCCAGTATTTCATTTATGCCTGGAGAGTATTTTTTATGATTAATTGAGAAAAAGATATGTATTTGCTCCATATCTGTCTTACCTAGTGTAGCTCAGTGACACCCAGTAATGAAGTTTTAGTGGAGAAAAGTGAGTATTACCTTCAAAGTCATCATCTCAAAGGCAGGCTTATCTATCTCTGGGCCCTCTATGCTCAGAACCTGGTTCCTCCTATTTCATGCATTGAGCTGAAGATAGGAATGTATTTGTTATTAACTTTTAATAATATTACATGCAAATCTTTCTTCTTTTATTTCTCTTGTGGGTTTCCATCCTTACCTCTGCTTTGAGCATTCCTTTTTCTCCTTCACTTGTGTCTAGAAAGTGAAAACTCTATAAACATGTATATCAATATAGTTTCTGAACCCTCGGTTTCCAGGCTTTGTAGATTATATAAAGTTACAAGGTAAGGCTTTAGCCTGAAGTTATTTCCAAACTCCAAGGGGAAAAAGAGACAGGTTAGCATAATAGGTGAAAGATTATCCTTTAGGACTAGGCAGGTCTGGATTTGAATCCTGGCTCCACTATTGGGTAATCTGGTAACCTCGGACAAGTTACTTTCCTTCTTGGTGCTTCAGTTTCCTCGTCTGAAAATGTAAATTATGAAAGAAGTACTTGCCTCATTAATCTTAATGAAGATTAAGTAAGATCTTTCACATATAGTACTTATACACAAACCTTGGCACATACTTCTCATTGCTAGTCATTATTCACTAATGCTGGAGTTTGGTCTAATGGAAAGAGTCTGCACTTTAGTCAGACAGACCTAGCATTTCCATTTACCACTCCTGTGTGACTTTGGATGAGTTATCTAACCTCTTTAGGCCCCAGTTTAATCACTTGCAAAATAGGAAATACAATATTCACCTTCTAGGGTTGTTGCAAGGATTAAATGAGATAAATTATATAAAGCATCTGGCCAAGTTCTTGGCCTATCATAGGCTCTCAAGGGCCCCCCTTCACTTACTGTCCACACAAATGCAAGGAAGTATAGAACTGAATACCAGAGATAGCAATAGTTTGTGAAAGTGAAAATTTATAAAATTATAGGTAATATAATGTGAACTATTACTATTTAGTATTAAAGTTCATAGAAGGAAGGGATCCTTGTAGGTTAGTGAAAAGGGAAGAATTCTTAGAGAAATAATATATAAGCTGAGCCTTGAAATGTGGGTGATGTCAGCAGAGGGAAATAGGACAGCATTACTGTTGAAGATGATGAAATGATAAAAAAGACATCTAATAGATTAATAATAATGGTTATAATGAAAAATATGAGTGGGCCAAGTGTAATATTATCTGTTAGATTTTTAAAATTGTGAGTTAAACAATCAGGTTGGAATGTGTAGAGAGTTATGTGGGCAAATGGCCTTTTCCTTATAACATGCCAGTTGTTATTATTCTACCACTGTTGACAAACAAGGTTTCACTTTGAACTTTTAATATTACAGCAAATGGGCCAATTATTTAAGAAGGAAAATTAACAAGATTTTCAAGAAGTTGAAGAAACAAAGAAACAAACTAAAGAGAGATGCTGAAATGTTAAGGGCAGCAATTGAAAATGAGGAAGGATTCAGTGATGGAAAGGAACAAGAGGATTAAGGTAATGACAATAGAATATAAAGTTGAAGCCTTAATATTTTATTCTTATTGCCATCATCTTGGTTTATTTAATGTTTACTTTTTTACCACAGATGTTAGGACCACAGGAGTATCAACTTCTGAAGTGATTATATCACTAGGGATATTTGTATGGTTGGAAGGTGGACAAGAAATGTTCAAAGTTATTTGGGTGCTACATTATTGGTATACACTACTCAACCCTTCATGGGAAACAAATAGATTGAATCTGGCCTCTCTGATTCTGTGACTCTATGATTGGACACATAATAATGGCCATAGACCACACCACATATCTAGAGGACATAGCATATAGCCTCAGGAGTCTGATAGATCTGGGATTGAATCAGCTATCTGCTCCCCAAACTTATCCAATGCATTATTAGAAGAGGCTGAGAGAGGGGACTACAAAATCTTACAATAGGGATGACCTGGGCCTCACTTGCTTATGCTTACATATACTTTACCCTAGGCCAGTGTCTCCTCTTAAAATAATTGTGAAGAGCGAAGTAAGAATAAAATGGTTGGTGAGAAAAGAGGTATACTTCATGGAAAAGAGTACTGGATTTGGAGTCAGGAAATTTAGGCCATTAACTAGTGGCATTTCCATAGGCAAGTAACTTAAACTTTCAGCTCCTTAATACCATCAGCTGAAGTTTTTGAGTCACTTAACCAATATAATGCATGAACTAATGCTTTGAAAATTGCAACATGTAACTCAAATTTGAGGTGTTCATTTCTAACCCCAGTCACAAAGAAGTAGAAGAATGGAGTAACAAACCATTGAATTTAGTACCAGGAGACTCTGGCTCTAGTCCCAGTTATACTACTGTTTACAGTGGGGGCTTGTCCAACTCTCTTAACTTTCCTGGGCCTCAGTTTACCAAATTGTGAAAAAAGAGGTTTGGATTAGATGAGTAGGAAAATTGACTTATCTCAGAAGAAACAAAAGAAAATCTTTATACAAAGTATTATGTATATGATACTATTCATATAAGGCAATATAATAATTACATATAATTATAAATGCATATTATTACACATACCTATATATTACTTTGTATAAAGTTTAATGAAATACATAATGCATATATGTATGTAGATACATGCACACATATATTACATTATAGCTAGATTAACAATACAAACTCTGTGGCTATTTACTGGGGCATAGAAATTAACATTTTTATTGCAAAATCATCATTATGAGATAGCATATTTTGTCTGTATAAGATGATATATTGGTAAACTGAAAAGGCATGCTAATCATAAATTTCGATATATAGAGATTGAGAACTTTGTTGCAGTTATTTCCTTTTATAACAAACTATGATGTATATATGGTAGCCCTTTCAAGGTGTTTAACTCTGCTTTATTTTTCTCCTGTAGCATTAGTTTTCCATTGAGAAGAATGCAAACCATGCAGAGGAGACTTAACCTCAGGGAGCATTTTAGAAGGATAAACATTAGTCCTTCATTTTGTCATTTTTTTTCTTAAAATAAAGTTGATAGTTCTGTTTCTGTGCATCAAACCAGAATCTGAGTTCTTTTTATTAAAAATAAATTCAACAGAATTTAAAAAACCATATGAAAAGCACTCCTGGCATTTGAGGTCCTAGATACTAATGGCAGAGATTTTATATTGTCGTTCACCTTCTAATGGGTTATAAAACAACAACCAGTGATCATAATTCAATGTATATGATACTCTAATTATTTCAAGGAAAAGATGTAAAAATATTTTGTAGTAGGGTACTTCTTTTTATTTTATAACATAATATTTTCTTCACCACTAAAGTAAGGCATACTTGTTATAAAAAGTTTGGTAAATAAGGTTATGTAGAAGAAAAAAAAAATTTGCCACTACACAAAGATGTCGTTATCATGTTTTCTTTACTTTTTTAAAGAAAACAGTTGTGTTCTGTGACATACTTAAATTGTTATTTTAAAAGTTTATATCTTATTTTATGATTCATTTCCCCCTTTTGAAATGTTTAGGGCTCAAGTTTACCTGAGCTTGTTGTTCATTCATTCAATGAACTCAATGAACATGAATTGAGTTCCTGCTATGGGCCATGAACTTTTTTTTTTTTTAAATATATTTTATTGATCCTTTACAGAGAGGGAGAGAGATAGAGAGCTAGAAACATCGATGAGAGAGAAACATCGACCAGCTGTCTCTTGCACACCCCCTTCTGGGGATGTGCCCGCAACCAACATACATGCCCTTGATTGGAATCGAACCTGGGACCTTTCAGTCCGCAGACTGACGTTCTACCACTGAGCCAAACCGGTTTCGGCGGGCCATGAACTTTCTATGTGTTAGAGAAATAGTCATGAGCAAGACAGACTAGGCCTTTCCTTCATGGAGCTCTATAGTCCAGCTTTAGAGGAAGCTAGGTAAAGAAGTAATGACAGGGCTAAAATAGGAGTACCAAGTTCCACAAGAGCACATAGCAGGAGCATATAGACCAGACTTCAAGAAGACACATAAAATTAAAATGAGAATCAGCACGTGTTTGCCATGCAATCACTGCGTGGTAGGAGGAGTGTCTCAGGTACAAAGGCCCAAGTGTATGGAGTATCTAGAGCACTGCAAGTTGTTCATTATGGCAGCAACTCGAGTTAAATGTGAGATCAGAATATAATGCATATTTAAAAATTGGGTTTTATACTCTGGACAGAAGGGAACCAATGAAGGGTTTTAAGCAAAGGAATGATATTATAAAATCTATATCATTAGAGATCACTCTAACTGTTGTTTGGAGAATTGGAAGCGAGCAATAGTAGTGTTAAAGGAACCAGTTGTGAGGCTGATGTATTAATATGGCGTGTGTGGGAAAAATTGTAGGGATTTAAAAGGGAGTATGGATTTCTGATAGGCCAACTGTAAAAATAGTGGTATCTTTGACTAAGATGGGACACTTGAGAAGGGCTGGTTTGGCAGGGGAATGTTAGTCATATTTGTACACCATTTTTGAAGTACCTATGGGCCATCTAGGGAGGGATGACTGGCAGATATATGTGCCTGGAGCTCAGGAAAAAGGTCTGTTTTGATAGTTCAGGAGTCATCAATGTACTATCTAATAAAAAAGTAATATGCAATAACCATCACTCTGCTACACCCACAAACCATGCCCATCAGCCAATCAGGAGTGATTATGCAAATTAATCCCAACCAAGATGGCTGTAGCCAGAGAGATAGCAGGGGGCTTGGGTTTCCCTGGCAATGGAGGAAGCCAACCTGTTCACACACTCTGGCCGGCCCAGGCCTTCACTCAAGGCTTCACAGTTTCAATTATGGAAGAAAAATAAATCCCAACAAAAATGGCAGCGGCCACAGTGCTGGAAAGAACAGGAGGCTTGAGTTTTCCCTGGTGATGAAGGAAGCCAAGCTTCTGCACCCCTGGCCTGCCTTGGCCTGAGCTCAAAGCTACAAAGTTTCAATTATAGAAGATAAATAAATCCCAGATACCAGGGCCTCCCCTTGGGTCACAAAGGGGCATGACCAGCCTGCAAATCACCACAGGCCCCTCTCCCAGGCTGCCTCATTCCCCAAGGGAACCCCCACCCTGATCTGGGACACTGTTCAGGGCAAACCAGCTGGCCCCCATCCATGCACCAGGCCTCTATCCTATCTAATAAAAGAGTAATATGCAAATCGACCATCACTCCAGCACACAAGATGGCTGCTCCTATGTGGTCAAACATCCTGCCCTCGTGGACACAAGATGGCCACCACAAGATGGCCAGAAGGGGAGGGCAGTTAGGAGATACCAGGCCTTCAAGGGAAGGCAGTTAGGGGCAACCAAGCCTGCAGGGGAGGATAGTTAGGGGAGACCAGGCGGGCAGAAGAGGCAAGTTGGGGGTGGTGACTGGGCCTGCAGAGAAGGGCAGTTGGGGGTACCCAGGCCTGCAGGGGAGAGCAGTTGGGGGGGGGCAGGCCTGCATTGGAGGGCATTTAGGGGTGACCAGGCCAGTAGGGAAGGACAGTTAGGGGCAAACAGGCTGGCAGGGGAGCAGTTAGGCATCAATCAAGCTGGCAGGGGAGTGGTTAGAGGGTAATCAAGCTGGCAAGCAGAAACAGGGGCAATCAGGAAAGTAGGCAGGGGAACAGTTGGGAGCCAGCAGTCTTGGATTGTGAGAGGGATGTCCGACTGCCCGTTTAGGCCCAGTCCCAATAGGATGGGGCCTAAACGGGCAGTCGGACATTCCTCCAGGGGTCACAGATTGGAGAGGGTGCAGGCTGGGCTGAGGGACACCCCCCCCCCTCCGTGCAAAAATTTCATGCACCAGGCATCTAGTATAGATGATAATGAAGGCACAGTGAATGACCGATTTAAACCAGAAATAATATGAAAAAAAGGAAGTTAGTGGAATAGAATGTAGAGAACAAACACATTAAAAGGATAGTCAGAAGTAGGGTAGCTGTCAATGGAGAATTGAGAGGGATGAGGATAAGCTGGAGAGATCAGTAAAATGAAATCCAAGAGGAAGCATGATTCAAGGTGGAGGGAGTGTGATTAACAGTACAAAAATGTGGTTTTATTTCCACTGGATTTAGTAACATAGAAGTAATTGGTGCATTTGGCAATAGCAGTTTCAGTACAAAGGTAGGAGCAGAAACTAGATACTGAGTTGCAGTGCCAGAGAGGTGAGAAAGTGAAAGCAGAGAGTGTAAACAACCTGTTGAAAAAGTTTCCCTGTGAAGGGAATCTGAAATAATGGTGCAGTAATTGGTAGAATAGGATGGAGAGAAACAGTGAGTGTAAAGGCTTGGGTTGTGTGGAAGTTTCAACCTGCTCTCCTGATCCCCAACTTTTCCTTCTATTTTTTTCCCATAGAGTTTTTGTATTCTCTTGCTTCCTTTGTCAAATATTATTTGACTATAAGGGCATGTGTTTATTTCCAGGCTCTTTGTTCTGTTCCGTTGATCTACTATATGCTTGTTCTTATGGCAGTACCAGGCTGTTTTAATTATA